GCTTTACAAATACCTTACTTTACTTTTTAATGTACCTCATTTTGTAAGAATCATCAAAGTTCTTTTTCTTACTCTTCTGGGAAATTGAAATAATTTTTCTCCCAAACTCATCATTCCTAATTTCAACTAGGATCATTATAGTTTTTCTCCATTATTTGGATATAAAATTACTTTCTTTTGCAAAAATAAGAAATACAACTTCTGGTCTGGGGTTGTGGCTCAAATGGTAGAGTGCTCGCCTGGCACGCATGAAGCATTGGGTTCGATTCTCAGCACCACATAAAAATAAAATAAAGATATTGTGTCCACCTAAAACTGAATGCTAAATATTAAAAATTAAAAACCAAAAAAACGCAACTTCCAACTCTCATGGTATTGCCCTACCTTGCCCTCCCAAAACAGTCTTATTTTCTGGTTCCTAGAAAGAAAAGTACATAATTAGCTCAGTCTCTTCATTTCCCCCATGTTCATTCCCGCCCCCCCAATTATTTGTTTTCCCTTTCTCTTTCCCATATATTAGGGAAGCAGTTGTTAATGCCAAGTGAAAATGTGTTCTAGGTAAAGAACTTTTGGGGGAGGGGGAAGACTGTGTATAATATACTCCTGAATTTACTGGGCAAAGTGAAGAACCACTGAACTGGGATTAATTTTTATTCTTTATATTCTGTTCTAAATATAGCTTAAATGTTTTGTTTTAATTGAATCTCTGTTATGACTAAGACACCAAGTGACAAGGGCACGAAAAGATGAATAACCATATTTCTGATCTTCAATTAGCTAAATAAACCTGAAAAATGTAATCAACTAAAAGATATAAAATCCTGACTCACAAAGCATTTTTGCCTAGATTGTCAGTGAACTTACATAGAGGGAAGATCTAAACCGAGTATTCATTTTTCTTAGCATATATATTTGAGTGCTTACAATATGCTAAGCACTGTTCTAGGTGCTGGGAGTATATCAGAAAACAAAACAAGACAAAAACCGCTGCCCTTCTGATAAGGTGACACTGGAATAAAGAGATGAATGAACTTGTATGCTCACAAACCATGTAAAAAGAAATCTTAAGGAAAGGGTACTCCAGATGAAAGGAATAGTACATGCATATTCCTGCATTGGAATTATACTTGGCATGTTTAAAAGACCAAGTGAGATTTAGTCAAAGGAAGAAGGGGAAAACAGTAAAAGATCAGGATAAACAAGTAGCAGAGGGCCAGATCATGTAATACCTTCTAGACTTCCATAAAGGCGTTGGTGATTTTTACTTGGGAAACTATTGAAGCATTTTGAGCAAAAGATTGACAGGTGATCTGTAGTTGTAGTTTTGGGTATACACAGTGGAATATTATTAAGCCATAAAAATAACAAAATTCTGTCGTTGGTAGCAACATGAATGGCACTGGAGAACATTATGTTAAATAAATCAGGCACAGAAAACCAAATATCACACATCCTCACAGATAGGATCTAAAAATTGCTCTGAAAGGAGTAAAGAATAGAGTAATGGGAAGAGCATGGGGGAGTAGGGATAAAGGGAGGATGGCTAGTGCATATGTGGGTACAATTGGATAGGAGGATTAAGCTTAATGAAGTTCTATGGCACATAGGCTAACTATGACAATAATTAACTTAATTTCAGAATAACCAATAGAATTTTGAATRTTCTCAAAACAAARSAGTGATATATATAGGTCAGAGGTGATAGATATACCAGTCATTCTAATGTAGTCATTGAACATTATGTACATGTATTAAAATGTCACACTATACCACATATATATGTATCCCATAAATATTGTACTATGTGTAAATTAAGATATATTTTAAAAGTGAAAATTAAAAAGATTACCTACTATTTCATTCTAAGCATGAAATAGGAGTGACCTTCAGAGACAATTGGCTGTAAATTAAGAGAAATTATAGTGACTTAGACTAAGGTGGTAATGGTAGAGAAAGTGAATATATCTTTTGATTTGGAGATGGATTAGATGTCAGTTTTGAAAACAAGAGTCAAGGATGGTTTTAGCAACTCAAAGAAATGAAGTTTGTCATTTTCTGAGTTAAAAAAAATAACTTAAAAAACCCCTAGTTTTGGTTGGTGAAAAGATCAGAAGTTAGGTTTTGAACATGCTAAGTTTGAGGTGTCTATTAGTTATTCTAGTAGAAATGTTTGGTAGGCAGTTGGAAAGAGTTGAGAGAAGACAGAGCTGGATGTTAAAATTTGGACTAAGTATGTTCATAGTAGACATATAAAGTCACAAGATTAGATGACATTGCCTAAGAAATAAGCATAGCTAGAGAAAAGAAGACATCTAATTTGCCCTTTTGGGAAATAAATTAATAAAGTCATCATAAAAGAAAATGTTATAATATCTAACAGTAGAAAAAATTTAAAACTTCTGTCATCACTTCTCAAGCTTTGATGTGCATTTGAATCATTTTGTTAAAAGGAACAAAGTGAAGCCAGGCACAGTGGCACATGCTATTATTCCAGAAACTCAGGAGGCCAAGGCAGATTGCAAATTCCAAGCCAACCCCAGCAATTTAGCAGGGTATTCAGTAATTTAGCAAGAATGTATCTCAAAATAAACAGGTGCTGGGGATATAGCTCATTGGTTAAGCCCTGCTCTCAGCTCAAGCCCTAGTACCAAAAAAAAAAAAAAAAAAAGGCCAAATGTAAAACAACTGAAAGACTATAATAAGGATTACCATCCAGAATAAAGAGTATCTATAGATAAGAAATTAACCAACAAGAAAAAACAACCCTGTAGAACAAAGGGGAGTACAATATAGAGAATTTTCTAACAACACGGGTGGCCAGAAACACCCAACTTTCTAGAAAATGCAAATTAAAACAACCCAATCCCCTTATATCCCTTTTAGAAMGTTTGTTAATGCCTAATGTTGGTAAGGTTTGTGGAGAAAAGGGGAGGGCTCATACCATGTAGATAGGAATATAGCTTTTGACATTTCTTCTTTTGAGAGACATTTGGCATATTTATTAAAATTTTAAATATATGGGGTAGGGGTTGTGGCTCAGCGTTGGAACACTTGCTTAACCTGTGTGAGGACCTGTGTTCAATTACCAGGAATGAAAAAGGAAGAAAGGGAGGGCAGGGGTAGAAAAGAAATAGGAAGGGGGACGGGAACCCTTCTATCCATGAATCCTTTACCTAAATATTGAAGACTTAAATCTTTGCCCAGAAAGGCAGTTCAGAACTATTCATTGAAGCATTGAGGTTGATAAAAATGGAATAACATAAATGTACTGTAGTATGGGAATTATTAATTATTAAAGGATTTTTAAACCCTCTACTCATTTATTTCCCTTTGTACCTTTTAAAATATTTTTAAATATTTGTTTATTTATTCGTTTTTTAGGTATAGTACTTTTTAAATTTTAAATGAGGTCTCAATATATTGCCTGGGCTGGCAAATTCCTGGGCTCAAGTGATCCTCTTGCCTCAGCCTCCTGAGTTGTTGGGACTGCAGGTGCACACCATCACTCCTGGCATCACATCTTTTCATTATAACTTTAATAGTTTAAAAGGCCATAATTTCTACTGAGTATTTCATTTATAATGTTGAATACACTTTTGGGTCACCTTAAAAACTTCAGATTGAAATATTTGGTTTATACATAAGACTGCCACATAATTTGCAAGCCAGTTCTCTCTGTGAAACTAGATAAATTGGACAACATCGTTCATCAAGAAAAAAGTTCTGACCTTTTTATGTTATCTTAAAACAAATGTGTTGCCAGGCACAGTGACGCACATTTGTAATCCCAGCGGCTCAGGAGGCTGAGACAGGAGGATTGCAAGGGCACTAAGCAACTCAGTGAGACCCTGTCTCAAAATAAAATATAAAATAGGGCTGGGAATGTGGCTCAATAGTTGAGTGCCCCTGAGTTCATTCCCCAGTACCCCCCCACCAACCCCCCAAAATATGTTAATATGTGCCTTTGTTATAACTACTTAGACTTCTGAATTCTGTGCTGAATGGCTAGATAATGAATAAGACTTGGGACCTTACAAAAATCCATTTCATTGATAAAAACAGGTGTTTCCCTTAATTTTTATCTTTTCCCCCTTTTCAATTTCCCCTCTTTTAATGATCTATTTATGAGATACTTTGGAGTTTTTACACCTCAGAGTAGTGCATTTTAGCAGTATTTGAGATGGATAATAACTTTACCTTTCTTTTAAATGATGATTTTAATAGGGGAGGTGGGCAAGAAGAACTAGTTCTGCTTTTTTTTGTTTTGGTTTGTTTTTTGTGTTTTTTTTTTTTTAAGATGTAATTTTTTTTAGTTTTCGGTGGACACAACATCTTTATTTTATTTGTATGTGGTGCTGAGGATCCAACCCAATGCCCTGCGCATGCCAGGTGAGCGCGCTGCCACTTGAGCCACATCCCCAGCCCATTGGTTTGTTTTTTGAAGGAGGAGGTTAGTGTGTGTGTTTTGTTTTGTTTTTGCAGTTCTGGGAATGGAACTCAGCTCCTCATGCATACTAGGCCAGCAGTGTCACTGAATTACATCCCCAGCCCAGAATTAGTCCTTAAGCAAATCAGTTAAGGAGAGTACAGTACAGAGAAAAACTGAGGATCTGGAAATTGATTTTCTTAAAATTATCGTGTTCACCTAACCCTGGTTACCATTAGTGTGGAGATCATTGAAATTAGCAGTAATATAGAAAGATTATAAAATGAACATTTATTCGGCCATTAAGGAGGAGTAAAATAGAGGTGTACTAATGTGGGAAGAATTTTGAGGCATTGTTATTTAGTGGGAAAAATGTCAAAATGTTTTATATAATATTTRTGTGTATTTATATGTTTTATATACATACATATTTGTTTTCCACATGAGTCAAAAGGGAACATTAAAGGTTAATACCAACCCTAAACATTTACATTTACTTTTTTGATGGAGGGCCTGGGATATACTAAATGATCTTTATTTATCTTTATTCTTTTAAAATATATATTTTTTTTAGGTGTGGAATATCAAACAAATGATTAAATTGACACAGGAACATATAGAGGCCCTACTGGACAAATTCGGTGGGGAGCATAATCCACCATCAATATACCTGGAGGTAAGCTTTTGAGTATCATATTTGTAGTAATTTTTTAAAGGAAAAATAAATGAATTTGTAAAAAGTTTTGTAGTGTTGATCTTGATTCTTGTAGGGTCTGGGATTAGCAATAGATACTGGAAGAGAGAATTAGCTTTGACTTTATTATAGTCTTAGTCTTGTTTCACTTGTTAAAATATACATGCACTATTTTATAATTTAGAAAATGTCAAAAGTAAGGAGGAAGTCCTCTTTAAACTTTAAAATATTTCTCTGAATAAAGAATTTTTAAAAGAGAGAAAGCACACTGTTTTGTTGTCAACAAAACTAGTGACCATATTGGAAAACGAGGAATTTTTGTAAAATATCTTTTCTAGAATAAGTGCCCCTACAATTGGTTTTTCTTCCTCATAGAAAAAAAAAATTGAATCATCTTGAAATAGCCCAACATTGCTTTACCTTTTTTTGTTTAATAGTTCCTTGAAGTTTGTGTCAAGACTTGATCATGATTGTAAATTTATATATGGAGTTAGTCGTTGTGTTAAGTCTTAATCCTGTGAAATAATAGGTACTATTGTAATCACAGATAAGCCTTCTTGACCTTAGTTTCCTTCTGGAAATCAGCCAGCCTCCATAGTGAGCCAGCTGTTGTGGAATGTAGGCACTCAGGTTCTACAGTACCCAGTGCACACCATTGCTCTCCACTGCCTTTACTTCACAGTAGTACTATATGACTAGTGATTCAGCTGTAATCACTAGTCATATAGGAAGATAACTCTAAATGATAAATGATTAGATTACCATTTGACTCCAAATGGCAGGGATTTTAAAGCATAGATTGAAAGACTCCAAATAAATTTCTAATTTAGTACTATAATTGCTTTTTTAAAGAAAAACCTTCATTATTTCATGAGAAAGTGCGATTCAGATTTCTAATTTAGTACTATAATTGCTTTTTTAAAGAAAAACCTTCATTATTTCATGAGAAAGTGCGTTTCTGAAATAAATTTTAGAATGGAGGGCTGTAGCAGTGATAGAGCCTTGGCCTAGCATACGCAAGTCCTGTGTTCCAGCGCCACCTGCCACCTCCCTCAACCCCAATCTAAACAGGGTAAAATAAATGTTGGAAGTTTGGATACCAATCAGCTAATAAACTGTTCTATTCTTTTCCTCCTATTCCTATGGCTTATCCCCCATCACACTACTAGTTAGGATCAATGGTAGGACTAGAATTCTTATCTGGATACTAGATACTTTTTCTAATATCTCATGCTATCCCTTTTACTTGGATGATTTTGGATGCCAGCAAAGGAGTCATGAAGATATAAATAGTCCTAGTGAAACCGATAATTCTTTTTTAATCAGAGTTAGACTATAAGCAGCAGTTTGCCTCATACCCATTTCTATGTCTTGGGGACTTTCCCCCCATGCTCAAATATAATACATTTGCAGCAGTAACCATGTCTTTCAATAGTAGTGATTCACCTCCTCCTCCACACACATACTCTTTAAGACTTTTTAATATTTAAAGACTGATCATTAATAGCAACAAAACTTTGACTTAATGTGTGCCCAGTACTGTGTTAAACGCATTTGTCAGTTTAATCCTTATCATTACTTTGGGCTAGATGCTAGGTGGTAGGTATTTTTGTTATCCCCATTTTGCAGGTGAATAAACAAAGCTTAAAGTGACTTACCCAAGGTGACACTGCTAATAAAGAGGGCAATTATCTAATGCAGAAGTCTATGGTCTTATTCTACCTTTGTCATGCCTTTGTGCCCCTCCACCCTTACCCATAGTTGGGCTAAATAATTCTAATTTCTTCAACCATTGTTCTTGACATGATTTGTGGATCTTTTACTAGGTATATTTTATTTGGTTGGTTTCTTTTTTAGAATTAGACACATAAATTTGGGTAATATATTCAAATTATATGTCAGATCATAACTCAAGGGTTATGACATTACCATGTGGTAAAGTAACAGATTCTTATACTACACAGTTTTTAGCTATATTTAGTGTTTATGAAAATATGTGTGTGTGTGTGTGTGTGTATATATACATATATACACAGGCATACATAGAGGGCCATAAAATACAATGATTAACTTGAGCCAGTGAGGTCACACAGACCCCATTTTTTAATCCCATTCGGACCTTAGTTCCTGCAGACAGTTTACCTAGTCTCCCTGTGTCCTACCTCATAAAATGAGAATAAGATTACACATGTGGTAATTTAAGGTTCTGAGCTTTATGTAGTTTCTGAAATACAGTCCTGCACAAGTAGTTGGTTCATTCATTCAACAGATACTTATTGGGTTCCTTCTAACATTTGCACGGTAATGGTAGCACAACATATGAATGCCCCTGGGGATATAGAAATTTTTTTAAAAGATCCTAAATCTCTGCCTTAAACTAGTTGTGCTTGAATCAGGGAAGAGAGGTACATACAATGAACATATAAATGAGCTAGAACATTGTACTTAACAACATTTAATGTACTGTGAAGAGGACCCTGGCTAGAGGTTATAGAATTCTTGCCTATGGAAAACTGACCAGTCCAAGAGAAAAGACTTGTAAGTAGTGATATTTGAAGGCCCTTCAGTGTAAAATCAAATCTACACCCACCATTCTACAGGTTTCTAATCCCGCACTTAAGCAGTCCTTAATATGTTTTCTTTTTTTCCTTTTATTGGGGTGAAATACCCAGAAAATTTACCATTTTAACCACTTTTAGGTATAGAATTCTGTGATTTTAGTGCATTCATAGTGTTGTGCTACCATTACCACATTACTGTTATTTATCTCCAGAAGATTTTTTTTAACACAGAACAGATTGGTAATTTATTTTCATTCACTTGATTTATTAGAGAAAGATTCTTAAGAATATTGAAGACTGGTGTGTGTGTTAGCACACGCCTATAATTCCAGCAACTTGGAAGGCTGAAACTAGAGAATTGCGAGATCAAAGCCAGCCTCAGCAAAAGCAAGGCGCTAAGCGACTCAGTGAGTCCCTGTCTCTAAATAAAATACAAAATGGGGCTGGTGATATGGCCCCTGAGTTCAATCCCCGGTACTCCACCCACAAAGAAAAGAATATTGAAGACCTAAATAAATAAGCAAATTACATTTTAGTTCCATCTGATATGAAAATCTGCCTGTGACTTGGAAACAAGAAAATGTACCTTATTACAAGTATAATGACCACTCATAAGACTTAATTATAGGGCTGGGGTTGTGGCTCAGTGTTAGAGCGCTTGCCTAGCATGCGTGAGGCACTGGGTGATTCTCACCACCACATACAAATAAATAAAATAAAGGTCCATCAACAACTTTAAAAAATTTWAAAAAAATAAGAATTATATATATATATAGGATGCAAAAAAAAAGGACCATCAATACATGTGAAAAAGAAGAAATAATATACAGCATTTTTGGATGACAGCGCATGCAGAAATAATGACTAAATTCTGTAGAAGATCTTTATCATACCAAACTGAAACTTTTTTAAATATTTATTTTTATATCTTTACTTCATTTGTTTATTTTTATGTGGTGCTGAGGATCTAACCCAGGACCTAACACATGCTAGGTGAGTGCTCTACCACTGAGCCCCAGCTCCAGCCCCCAAATTGAAACTTTTTATCCATTAACCACTAACTCCCTATTTCTCTCCTCCCAGTCTGTAGCAACCAACATTCTCTTGTTTATATGAATTTTAATACTATGGTGGAATCATACAATATTTGTCCTTTTGTGACTGGCTTGTTTCACTTAGCATAATGTCTTCATGATTTATCCCTGCTGCAACATGAATAATGCATGCTTAAAAATTCCCTTCCTTTTGAAGTCTCAATAATATTCCATTATGTGTGTGTGTTCGTGTGCATCACATTTTGTTTAGCCATTCATTTGTCAGTGGACACTTGGGTTGCTTTTCTTGTTATGAAGAATGCTGCTGTGAACATGGGTATAAAAATAGTTGTTTTGGAAATATATCAAGAAATAGAATTGCAGGATTACATGATAATTATATTTAAGTTTTTTAAAGAAATTATCATACCTTTTTACATAGTGCTTGCACTGCCTTACCTTCTTTTTTTATGTTTTTATTTGTTCTTTTTAGTTATACATGACAGTAGAATGTATTTTGAGATATCATATATACATGAAATATAAATTCCCATTCTTTTTGTTGTACATGATGTGGAGTTACACTGATCTTGTATTCTTAGTGAACATAGGAAAGTTATATGTTCAATTCATTCTCCTGTCTTTCCCCATTCCCATCTCTTCTCCATCTGCATATCAGAGAGAAAATTGACCCTTTAGGTTTTGGGGCTTATTTCACTTAGCATGATAGTCTCCAATTCCATCCATTTACCAGCAAATGCCATAATTTCATTCTTCCTTATGGCTAAGTAATATTCTATTGTGTACATGTATCACATTTTCTTTATCTGTTCTTCTTTTGAAGGACACTCGGTTCCGTAGCTTAGCTATTGTGAATTGAGCTGCTATGAACATTGATGTTCGAGTCACTATAGTATGCTGATCTTAAGTCCTTTGAGTATTTGCTGAGAAGTAGGATAACGGATCAAATGGTGGTTTCATTCCAGTTTTTCTGAGGAATCTCAGTACTGCTTTCCAAATTGGTGGGGCTGCACCAATTTACAGTCCCACCAGCAATGTGTGAATGTACCTTTTTCCCCATATCCTCGCCAACATTTTCTGTTCCTTATATTCTCAATAATTGYCATTCTGACTGGAGTGAGGTGAAATCTTGATGCAGTTTTAATTTGGATTTCTCTTAATTACTAGTGATGTTAAACATTTTTTCATATGTTTGTTGGCCATTCATATGTCTTCTGTGAAGTGTCAGTTCAGTTTCTTTGCCCATTTATTGATTGGATTATTTTGGTTTTTTTTGGTGTTGAGTCTTTTTTGAGTTCTTTATACATCCCAGAGATGAATATTCTATCTGAAGTGCAGGAGGCAAATATTTTCTCCCAGTCTGTAG